AGGGCTGCCTGGGTGGCAAACTGGCATGTGGGTGGCGCACTGGCGTTTGCAGGAGTTCGGGGCAATAAAGGAGTTCCTATTTGAACCTACAAGTGCCTGCTGGCGGCTCGGTTATTTTGTGCCCAGCCAGACTGCGGCACCCAAGATGATGAACTGAAGGATATCAGATCCTGAAGGCATCTTTCCAAATCCTGTCAGTCTGTACCTCAAGCTAGCTCTATGCTCAAACTATTTTTTCTTTCTTTGAACTTGTCTATCTTCTGCAAAAACAGAATACTGTCTGATCCAACATTATAATAAAGGTTATTAGGTTGAAATACACAAATAGCTTGTGCAGTCGATATATCTGCAACAAACATAGACCAAGGAGCAGTTCTCTGGCTAGCTTTCAAGGGTTGAACAAACCTGCTAGGACATAACAGATCACCAACCTGCTCTCGGCCATCATGGTCGCTCCCCACAGCTCCCATGAATTCTGAATAAGGAAACAGGGAGAATCTTCTTCCACTCATTACCAATCCTTCTAACCAAGGCCTGCAGTAGAATCCTAGGCTAAAGCTAAAACATCTGGATTTTTACCCAGCCTCAGCAACTATGTCTGCTGTGTCGCCCAGGGCTAGAATCTTGATCTTCCTGGACTTCACTAGTCCTAACCCTAACCCATGAAAAAAAATGGAGGTCAGAGAATATAAAAGCCATGCACACAACAAATTGAAATGAAGGTTTGGCAGGTACACCAACAATTTAATAGCAACATAAGCACAGTAATTGCTCTTATCAAAAGCAACCAAAGCAGAATAAACATAGCTAAAATCTTTGGTTCAGAAACACTAATATTTTTGTGCTGATTTTCGCAACCTATCTTTCTATCTTTTCTATCTCTCTATTAGACAGAAAAAGACCAGTTTATCATATCTAGTGTTTCAAGATCACAAATGAAGCCAATGAACTCAACATATATGGGTTAATGAAATAGAGATATTTTAACCATTCATAATCAGGGGGAGAAAGACATCTAAACCAGCAGTTAAAGGAGTTACTATTTTTCATCAAGGTTGAGACACCCATACCATCAATTTCATATTAGTTGTGTTCAGTGATATATCATAAACTTAACTGGCAAAATGTTTTTTCAGTTAAGGGCATATAAAATAATATGGCATCTCATATTTGGTGAAATATGGTCTATCTCCTACAAAATGCTGAGAGCATCATCCTTCTTACACAAGGATCTTGTCATTCTCATGCTTCAAAACTCATAGCTAAGGTTAAAACTGTATATCGGGACACACAAGGCACTCCACAATCTGGTTCCAACTTACCAGTCCAGCCCCCAACCCTACCTCACCCTGCCTGATGCTCTGACCACTACGTGTATAGGAAAGACAGCCCCTTTTACAACTCCCCACTTTCTTCCTTACCCTCCTACATGTTCTCTCAGGCAGAGCTCAGCCTTGAAGGCTTAAACAGGATTGGTTCCCTTATCTATGAGCTCCTTCCTGTTCTCCTCCCTCAGTTACCTCCTGCAGTTCTGGACGCACTGTATTTCTATGATAATACTATCACACTGCCTCATACTTGGTATTTTTACCCCTCTTCTTACCCAATAAGAATATGAACCCAAGGGTCATGTCTCACTGATCTTTTTATTTCCAGTATATGGCACAAAGTAGTGAAAGCAGTGTCTATAAATGTTTGTGAAATTAATGTGTCACCAGACTCAGAGCCCCACTACTTCTCCATTCTCCCCAGCTTTCATCACACTCTCCCTTTCCACTTTACAAACTTGCTTCATAACAGACTAAGAGATATTCTTGGCCATAAATATCACTCAGGTCTCCTGGGCCTACACACACACACACACACACACACATATTTTGGGGGATATGGGGGGAGTCAATAAGCTGGCAAATTTTAATTCATCTTGAATGACAGTCAAATTAAGCCTTTGTTTACAAAACAACTTCTCATTTTTTTTTTTTTTATTATTTTGATCCTGGGGGTCTAAGTCTGAAATCGCCCTGGATGCTCTATCTGAGGTCTGCAGTTTCTTTTTTGGGGGAGGGGGTACAAGTATTGAACTCAGGGGCACTTGACCACTGAGCAACATCCCCAGCCCTATTTTATATTTTACTTAGAGTTAGGGTCTCACTGACTTGCTTAGCGCCTTGACATTGCTGAGGCTAGCTTTGAACTTGAAATCCTCCTGTCTCTGCCTCCAGAGCTCCTGGGATTACAGGTGTGTGCCACTTGGCTATAGTGTCTTTTATGGTGGTTGAACCTAGTCTAAGTTCAGCCTGTTATTCCCTTGCAGGAAGTGACATCTAAGAAGTCACCTACTGCCCCCAGGATTCAGTTTCCTTACCTCTTAACATGGGGAAATGTTTTGCTAAGTTTACCAGCTGTCTGAGGTTCAAGAGAGGTCACATAAGTAAAAGTGTTTTCAATAGCAAAAGAGCATTATTAAAACAGGAGACGCAGAGAAGCCAACTTGAAAGAGATTTCAATGGCCAAAGCTCTAATAATTATGCAACAGAATAAAGTAGTACTGGATTATAACCCAAAGCATAAAATAAATATCTGAGCCCATAATGATATAAATAAATGATTGAATAAATCACTAAGTAGGGAAGAGGAGATCAATCTCCCTTGTACAGAATTACAAATAATATATGGAGATACTTGCCCTCAAGGAGGAGGATCATTCACCCCCCCACTCCCTACCTGAGGAGTGTACTTAATGACTTCCTTCCAAGAATACAGTACACAAAGGGGAGAAAATAAGAGTCTGTAACTTTATAGTGAAGAAACCTCTCAGTCAGGTAATCAAGATCAGCATCAAGTCATAAATCATGAAGAGATCATAAAACCCTTGAAATGATGTGATGAATATGGAAATCTACTTTGTGGTTTTCCTTCAAATAACCCATAAGACCAGTCTTAGGAGAAAAACAACAGGCAAATTCCAACAGAGGGTCACCCTAAAATATACATATCCATTTGCTACAGTTTGGCTATATATAGGTATACCCCAAAGGTCCATGTGTTAAAGGCTTGCCCTTGGCACCACAGGAGGTGGTAGAAACTTTTGAGAGGTAGGGGCCCAGTGGAAGGTCTTTACATCGTGAGTGGGGGGAGGGTATGCCTTAGAAGGGACCCCAGTTTCTTCCTCTCTTTCTCTTCTTTTTGGTTCTCTGGCCATGAAGTGAGGAGAACAGAGATCAATAAATCATGACTGAAATCTCCAAAACTGTGAGCCAAAATAAACTTTCTCTCTTTATAAGTTAATTATCTCACGTATTTCTTACAGTGAAGGAAAATGCATCAAAGGTCATCAAAACGAAGTCTGAGTAACTGACACAACCAAAGAGTCATGACAACAATAAAATATGTTAACACAGATGGGATCATCAAACAGAAAAGTATTCAGGCAAAAAAGCAAATCTGAATACACTATGGACTTTGGTCAACAATAATGTACCAATATTGCTTCATTATTTGCATCAAATGTACCAGACTAATGTAAGACGTTAAGGGGTAAAATGTTTGGGGTATATGGTAGCTCTAGACTATCTTCTCATTTTTTTTCTTAAATCTAAAAAATAATGTCTACGAAAAAAAAGAAAACTGTAATTTTGAAACATTTAAAAAATCTATATTTAGAAAACGTGATTTTTTTTTAAAGTTGGGGAAAAAACATGTTAGGGATTATGATTTCAGCTAACAGTTAAACAGGAGGTTCAGGCATGCATGAACGAATGAATGTCATTCTCCCCTCTTTTGAAGCACACACAAATGGTTGTGGTGTCAAAATCTGGAATCTACTGGGAATTCTGAAATGTTTCCCTCCTATTTATTCCTTAAGGTTAAATTAATATACTTTTTTTTTCCTAAGGCTAAACAGAGAAAAAATTAGCAGGGAAAATATACAGCTCCAAGTGTATGAGGTGAAACTGGTTTACGCTGACCCAAAGAAGAAGAAAGGAAAGGAAACCTAACTTTGGTCATGGAGTCGGAATGGCTGGAATGGCTATCTATCTACACGGCTCCAAGCCACCAGACCTTCATCCGGGTCCCGCTTACTTCTAGCCCAGGGGACTACAAGGGATTAGAGTCTGAGCTGGACTCGGAAAGCTTGAAAGACTGACGAGGAAGGGCGAATGAAGGGTCAAGCAAGCAGGAAGGATTCGGTTGGCAGAGAGACGCAACGAACTCGACCCCCTACCCAGCCCGCCCGGCGGCCAGGCCGGGTTCTGTCCCAGGGCCCTGCGGCCGCATTCAGTCACCCCAAGCCGGGGGCGCGTGTGTAAGACTGCTGTTTCACGGCATTTCTCTTCGGATGCCCCTTACTCACCAGTCCCGAGCCGCAAATCGAGGGCCCGGGTCGCTTCTCTCCCGCACCGGTCTGTTCCGGGTCCGACTCAGGCTCGAGCAACCAGCGCGACAGCGCGTCCCCGCCCCGTAATCTCCCGGCTACTCGGTGCCCTCCGCCGAGATTTCTCCCCGACCAGCCCCGGGATTGGCCCCTGCTGAACTCCGCCCTCCAATGGGAACTTTAGTCTACTTGACGTCACTGATCACCGGGCAAATCCCCAGGCAGGGGCCGGGGGGTGGGGCAGCAAGGGCCGGGGGGTGGGGCAGCAGGGCCCGAGAAAAGGAAACTGAAAACGGAAGGGCAGAGACTGGTCAGATCCGCAGCCCAAGTTTGGTGCCTGCGGATACAGTTACAAGCTTTAAGGGAGTTAACTTATGAGGCCCAGTGAAGCACCCGTGTAGGACTCGGGTTCTATAATCCCTTCCTGGTCTTCCCGAGACGTCCCCACTTCCCGATCTCCTTGCACGGGTTCAGGGTCGCCGGCGGCTTTAATGCGAAGTGGCGCTCGCCAAGGCTCACCATTAAACGACTCCCTCTTCTCAACGTGACCTAAATTTGTTTCCAGGACAAGACAGAATCTTAACAGGCAAATATTCTCAGGGGACTATTTATAAAAATTAACTACCATTTCCGAAGTGAGTCGCTGTATGTAAAATATCCTCCTGCAAGGCAGGCACTGTCCCCATCCGACAGGAAAGAAAGCTGAGGTTCTGTGAGCATAGGGGCCTAGCCCGGCTCAGTGGGACTGTTTCCGTTCTTGCGCGCTGAATTTAGAAACTACAAAACCCGCAAAGTGGACGGGGACTCGGGTTCCCAGGGTTCCCAGGGTTCCCAGGGACCTTGGTGGCGAGGTTTCCAAGAGGCTTCGGCGCGTCCCAGCAGCCCACGGCCCAGGAAGCTAACCACGACGAAGCATCCCGTTTTCTCAGCCTATGCTGGTTTCCTGCTCTGCCTGCAATCGCTGCACCTGGTCTCACGGCAAGGCCATCCCCTGTGCTGACGTCGCCATATCCCAGGCACTGCTGCGTGAAAATACCCTAGACTGCCCGGCAGCTGGGAGGTTGTTACATTCAGTAATGGCACGGAGCTGGGAGAAGCTGGGAAGAGGCGTTGAGGTTCTGCTGTCCGCCAGTTCCCAGATCCTAAGGGTGGGATCTAGACAGAGGTGCGGGCCCATCTAGGCGGCGTAGTCGCTGCGTTGCAGGTGTTGGGGTGGGGAATTTTCATGACCTGGTGATCCTAGGGTCCTAAACCCTAAAACCCATCCAGCCTCCACCCATCTGCTGCTGAGAGCGAGGAAATTTGGAATGAATGGAAGAGGAGATGGGACACAACTCTGGCAGGCCTATGCTCTGGATATGGTGTCAACACATTCTACACCCACCTGCTACCTGCTCTTGCAGGGTTGTGGGAAGAAAGTGTGTTTGAAATGCTCTTCAAATAACATCATGCTACTAAGCTGTTCTCTCCCAGAATCCTAGGAGGTACTTAACTTGCTCAGTCCACTGGTCCAGCCCTTTGTGGTCTTTCCACACACACCCTTTTTTTTCTTCACCCCGACTTAAATTCTCTGATACCTTTCCAGCACACTTGGAGGGAGGGGCATGGAAGACCTCTGCAGGGCCTGGGGGTGGGAGAGGGCTGGCATGACCTCTTGTTGTCACCTTCTCATTTCCTGCATTTTAACCACTCACCCCAGCCCCTCTCATGGCTGCCCGCTTCTTATCAGGCATGTTTCTGCTTAATTGGCATTTCAGAAAGGCCTTTCTCCATCCCTCAGTCTAAATCAGTGTCCAATTATATTTATTCTATGTTGATTTTTTTTATGCACTGGTCACCATTTGAAAATATCTTGTTCATTTCTTTGTGCATCCTCCTCCTCCCCCTCAATGTAAGCCCCATGAGAGCTGAGACATAGCTTGTCTTTCATGCACATGGTCTTCACTCAATAAATGGATGTTGAAAGAGCTCAGCTTGAGTATTTCTAAATTCTTTCTAAAGCTGTATGGCTTTGTTTGGCAGCACTACCACTCTTGCACTGTCTTCTCTCATTATGTTACATGTTGGTTGATGCAGCTTCTCAAGTCTAACTAAAGACATTAGCAATGAACACTGGGAACACAGGTGGTTCTGAGGTAGGTTAAAAGAAATAAAAAAGATAGGAAGGATCAGGAAAATATAACTTCAATCTAAAAGCTAAAGCTCTGCATATCTTTCCTCCTAGGCTTGTCACTCCCCAAGCTAGTTCTCTCTCCCAAGCCTGTCATTCTCAAATTTCTAAGAGAATTGTAAATTAGAGTTACCATAAATTAACCCATTTATGAGAATTACATTGCACACTGTTAATTAGCCAATGTAATAAAATAGACTTAGTAAAGAGATACGATATTTTAAGAAACCTATAATATCAGGCATTTTCCAACATTATCTACTGCTCAGATATTGGAAACCACATCAGCCTAAAGGATCCTGATAATTATCAGACCACTAGTCATTAGACATATCATTCTCACATACCTTCCCATGCTGGTCCCTGACCAGGTTTTCCCTAGAACCTCCAAAGCATCTCACTTTCGAGATAGCCAGCATTCTTCCTTAAATGTGTCTCTCCTAATAAATCTCTATGTCTCTTACTGATGTGTCCTTAAATTAATTTCTGTCATGTTTTTCAAGAGCCTCACTCATCCTGAGTTAAGGTCCTTAAATTCATTTCTGTGATGTTTGTCAAGAGTCCCACTCATCCTGAGTTAAGGTCCTTAATATTTTTTCTATGAGGTTTGTCAAGAGCCTCATTCACCTCGAAGTTAAGGAAATCTTTTGGTGACAGCTCTAGTGCTTGCTTCATGGTCAAAGCACCTTTACAGTAAGTAGCAGGTGTCACACTTGCCACTCTAGTGGCTGGGATGACTCACTGCCCTCTAGGTTCCTGGAACAGAATTAAAATTCTTTGCTTGGTCTCTCCAGTCCTGTGCTTATATCAGGGGGAGTCCAGTGCAATACATGGGGCTGCCTAAAGGGAGCTAGACAACATGGGCTTGAATCCTCCTTCTTTCACTTTCTGGACAAGTCGTTCAACTTCTATGTGCTACAGATTTTCCTCCATAAAAGGGAAATGAAAATTAGATCTACTTCATAGAGTTGTCATGGGGATTAAATGTAAAACTTTGAAACAGTAAGTGTAGACTAGGCCAGAGAGGATGGTATGTTAAATAGCTTACATATGAAATGAGAATCTTAATTCAAGCAAAAAGATTTAGTAAGTATGTTCTTCAGCAATTCAGGTTTTACCTGAGGAAGAACTAGAAATTGCCCTCTAAAAATGAGTTTGCATATAATGAAGTACAGGAAATGCTACCCCAAAATATGTCACCTTGAAAATTAAGGAGACAGCAGAAGCAGAAAATACTTCTGATCTTCTCTTGTTCTTTGTCCCCTGAAATAGACCATAGAAATTAGGATTCCTCTCTCCATTTCTCCCTTGACAGACCATAAAACCTAGAAGATTCTCTCTATTCTTATCCCCTGAAGACCCTTATGTGAACAATTTTCTATGTTACATAAAAAAGAAAAGAATGTCACAAAGGGATGCCAACATTACTGGCTATTAATCCAGGGAACCTGCCTAGATCCCTGCTGGCTAGATTGAGTCAGGTGCCTGCATATGAAAAAGTGACAAATGTAAAAAGGAAAAATGAATTTAATGCAATTTGAAGGAAGCAGTCAGGTTATTTTTCAACAGGTCTTACAGAAATAGTTACAATTTATAGAAAAAAAAAAACCCAGGAGATAACCATGTAGATTTAGCTAGGCTGTACTAGCCAGAGGACTTATGGATTTTAATTTCCTTGATGCTAGCCACAGGCCACAGAAAGTTACTGTTTTCATCCTCAGCATGAAGTTCCGGAGGAGTTTCACTAAGAAGGAACTGAACCAACAGGCCTTGCTAACTGCCCCTGCGCCCCAGTTTGTTATGATTAGATAATACCCTTTGTCCTTCAGTCATACTTCATGACCATCCATAAAAACACACAGATCTCCCTGTTTCTTTGGGTATTCATTTTTGAGTGGTCCCATGTCATGTAAAATTTGGGTTTAAAAAAAAAAAAGGTTTTTTTGGTCTTATTAACATCTTTCCCTACAGGAGTCTCAGTCTTAAACCTTGTTATGAGAGAGGATATTACTTCTTATCTCCTATACATAGTATAAGTTTATTGAGTTAAAATATAGTATTCAGAATCTAAAGTTTTGAAGAATGCTAAAGAATTTAGAAGAGGTCTCCAACAATCAAAAAATACTTAAAACTATGAGGTTCTTATTAGAAAGATACAAATAATCTGAATCTTTTATGTGAAGGATATCTTGCTATGAAAAACTGAAAGTTACATGAACTATGAGTTGTAGATCTGAATGTCTGTTTCTAGCAGAGATACTAATAAACAACTTTTGTACTACTAAGAACTGGCTGCTTTTATGCTAAGAATGGTCTGTAGACTAAAAATTAACAGTTTAACTGTCCCTTTTAAAAAAGAAAAAAAAAAGACATTTTAAATGCTAATAGCATTAACTGCTGGGTTTTGAGCAGAAAGAAAGCATAGCCTGAGCCAATTTCTTCTGTGACTTGTTTTGTCTTTTAAAATCCTTTGTCTTCCAAATTTGTTGACGTTTATATTAAATCTTTTTTTTTTAAGTTTAGCTTTTAGTTGGATACAATATCTTTATTTTATTTATTTATTTTTATGTGGTACTGAAGATCGAACCCAGGGCCTTATATGTGCGAGGCGAGCGCTCTGCCGTTGAACCACAACCCCAGCCCTATATTAAGTCTTTTAATTCAAAAGTTAGTGAAAATAGGTTGTATAATTAACAGGGACAATTCAACCTTTAACTTTAAAATTTCTAAGATGTTTAAGCTTTATATACTTACTGATGGTTCCCCAGAATATGAAACGGTATACCTCATGACATATTTTTAAAAAATGATTGTGGAAGTTTCTAAACCTATAAAAAAGTAGAGAAAATATTGTGAACCACTAGGTTTCAATAGTTAACAACATTTTGCTGTTTGGTTTGCTATGTTTGCCTTGCTCTTCTACTAAAACAAACAATATTTTAAAACGAATCCTAGACATATTCCACTTCCTCTGTAATTCCAATTCCTCTGTAAATGCTTCCAGATACTTTTCTAATAGACTTTGCTTACATAAAAATGCCATTATTTCACTACACCAAATTATTCATGTAAAGACTTAATAATTTTACAATATCAATACCCAATTCATAATAAAATTGCTTGATCTTACCAAAGATACCTTTGTACTGTAAGAGTAAAAGAAATTGAAGTTCAAGTGTAAAAGACCAGGCATTGTAAAGTTTCTAAGCTGCAAGGCCTGAGTTAAAAAGTGAAGGACCAGGTATTGTTAAATTCCTCCGCTACATCCCAAACCTGAAATTCCTGTAGTTGTAAGGACAATGCCCGGAATTGCCCAGTAAATATTCCCCCTGACCCTCTGGTTGTTTAATAACCTAGGACCCTGTGTAGCCTGGCAAGTAGGCATTCGAGGCCCAAACCAATCAGTTTGAATGTGTACCCCACTTAGGAGTGACCAATCATCCCCCCGCCCGCCCTGTTCCCACCAATGAATGTACTAATCAAGTCTAAGAATTATTGTTTAATTTTCCCACGGTGTATGGTGATTTGTTAAAGGAGACTGTGATGTGTGTAAAGTCCCCGCCCTCCCCAAAAAGTGTACTTAAGCACTGCTCAACCCCTGCTCGAGGCTGTGGGCTGCTCTCTGTCTCCTTGAGTGGGCACGGAGCCCCAGCATGCTGGATCAATAAATTCCCTTCTGCCAATTGCATGAGTGGTCTCTTGGTGATCTCTTCCTCCGATGC